TTACTCCATTTACATGATATTTCAGAAATCATTCTAATATTCTGATTTGCTGCTCAAAAACATTTATTATTATTATTACGTTGAAAACACCTGAGCAGAATTTTTTCAGGTTTCTTTGATGAATAGAAAGGTCAGAAGAACAGTATTTATCTGAAATAGAAATCTTTTGTAACATCATAATAAATTTAAAGCATCCTTGCTAAATAAAAGTATTAATTTTTAATTAATACCCCCCCCCCAAAAAAAAGGGAAATGGAAGTTTTCCCATTATTTTTCAAAATTTAAGATATAATTGGCCTAATATATCAAAACGTCTTTTCACCTCTCCTTTTCCACTTCTCCCAGGTGATCCTGAACTCACTGTTCTTTAACTATGATCTGAAGAAAGCAGTTACAGAGCCTAGAGTCCACAACCAGCTCAACCCCAACATGACAGTTGTGGAACAGGACTTTGAGCAGGTGGGTCCCTGGACTTAACTGAACTTTCCTAATTTAAGACATGATAAACGGTTTAATAAGTCAGTAAAAAGACTGTTATTCATATGTTTTTATTATATGTTTGTGGCTCTTTGTGAATGTGTCCACACATGCTACAGAGCGTTCTTGATGGCCTGGCTCAGAAGAATCATGTAACAGAGCTGCAGAGGACGCCAGGAGCAGTAGTCCAGGCCATTGTGCGACAAGGAGACAAACTCTGCGCCGAATCTGACCCCAGGAAAGGCGGCTATCCTGAGGGATATTGAACAACACTCCCTCTCTCCCTTCTCAATTTTTGTGGGCCTTCAGTCATTTGTGACTCAATCAAGAACCAGGAAAAACGAATATACACATTGCAATGCACCTCTCAGTCCAAAACGTCAATGTGGACCCCAATGCACAAGGTTGCACAAAGACTCCCTGTATTTATTAACATTTCTTTTTTCTTTTTGATGGGAAAATGCTTTATTGGTATCAACAGTGCCTAACTTTCATGTTGAACGGTCTATGATATTTCCAAGCTTATGTATTCCTTTTGTGTGTAGAGAAAGAGGATTGGTTATCAGTATGTGGGGGTCCTGATTCCACCTGATTCCATTGTATGGGTTCTTTGTTGTGTAATGGAGTTCTTTGGGTTAATGGACATGTTAAGAGCGATTTAAAATGAGTAATACAAAAAGTGCCTGTGAAAGTGACAAAGTCAGGGAAAGAAGTATAAAATTAATCATAGTAATACAAATATTTCATGTTTTTATTTGCAAAAAAAAGTAATGGAAAACTTTTTTTTTCATGTTTTTGGAAAAACATGATCTCTTTAAGCTTCTGTTTCGTTTTCATGGTAGACACACTGTAATAATAAAACACTGTTAAAATGTGTGGAAACTATTATATTGCCATCTATAAGCTGAATGTTTCACTTAAAGCTGCAACCAACGTATTCATTTTTAAATAGTGAACTGGAATGATAATATTCTTATGGTAAAATTGTGGAAGAATGGCATGTACAGCTTTAGATTACCTCACTGGACATGTTCGCCTCTGTAGGCTTTACAGCCATCCTTTCATGAGATGACTTGCATAATGTGAAATGCTGAATTGTTATTGTTATGAGTAAATGACTTGTGTATGTGAAAAAGACCTGAGTTCCAAGGCAGAAAAACATGTTCACTTCAGGTCTATTATTATCTAATGTTAGTCTCATTTTATGTTTGAATTGCATTTAAAGTAATAGTTCACTCAAAAATGAATTTGCTGATCATTTACAGACCGTCATTCCATCCAAGATGTAGATCAGTTTGTTTGTTCATCAGACCAGATTTGGAGAAATGTAGCATTACATCACTTGCTCACCAGTAGATCCTCTGCAGTGAATGGGTGCCGTCAGAATGAGAGTCCAAACAGCTGATAAAAACAAGGAATAAAGTGAAGTGAAAAGCTGTTTGTAAGGGACAAATCCATCAAGGTGTTTTAAATTTAAACCATTGCTTCTGTCCATAATCCAAAATAACTCTTTCTTCAGTGAAAAAGTCCATCCTCTGTTGTCCTCTCACTTTAAAATCCACTGACATATTTGTTTATAACTGTTTTGGACTGTTTTCTCTTTGTTCATATTTCTGTCCTGAATCAGATGAGACAACTTTTTCACTGGAGAAAACAGTATTATGTAGAGAAGACTTGTATTTTAATCAGAAACAACAGTTTGAAGTAAAAAACAAAACAAACAAACAAACGTCTAAACGATGAAATGGAGTTGTGTGGATTAATTGTGGATTATTGTAATGTTTTTATCAGCTGTTTGAACTCTCATTCTGACGGCACCCATTCACTGCAGAGGATCCAGAGGAGAAAGTGATGTAATGCTACATTTCTCCAAATCTGTTCCAATGAAGATACAAACGTAACTACATCTTGGATGGTCTGATTTTTAACTAATTTTCATTTTTGGTGAGCTATTCCTTTAAGGGCTGTCACTAGACTGTTTGTCTCCAAATCATATTACTACAATATCATGCAGTATAATGTACAGATCACATTTAAGCTATATCATGAAGCTAGAGATGTTAATGTTTATCATGAAGTGACACTGTGGGGTTAATGTATAGTGCATTCAGAGAAATACATGTGTGTATATATTTTTTAAACACCCACTGTTCTGTGGCTGTTGTTATGCTGTTAATTAAACTGTTTTTGGACCAATATATGTTTTGTGTCGCATTCATAAGTGTTGATATAAATATTGCAAAAGAGCTAATTACTAAATAATGCAAGCTGTATTTTATGAAACCGTTCCAATTGAAACAGCTCTGAGGCAAAAACATGTTTAGAAAAATGGAAGGCATTGTAAATAATCCAGTCAGCAGCCACATGTGAATATATATTTATTAAGGGCAAACTTGCTCATCTTTGAAAGAATAAGAAGAATCAAGTAAACAAGTATTTAACCTCTCTGAACAAATGATTAAGAGAGAGTATTTTAATTATAATAACATTTCACAATATACTGTTTTACTGATCAAATTAATGAGCATAAAAGACTGCATAAACGTACCATATGTATGTATTTATTTAAAAGTCCGACTCTAAGGGTTTGCTGACTGGCACTCAAGTTCTGCTAACTGCTTATGCCAAGTGATTACACGGCAACGTTTATTCTTGTGCTCCCGAATAGCTAGAGCTCATAATGCTCTGGTTATCTTTCCGATCATGATGCCAAAGCTAATGCAATCACTCACATTGTTCATAGCCTCTGATGAGATCTCATTGCGAGTCAGACACATTTCAGGGCTTTGGACGTTAATTATAAAGAAATGCTGGGCGTCATGCTGTGGAGGCATCATTGGTGAGCAGCTGAGCTAAACATTCCCTTTGACCATCCATCTGCACACTTCAGAGCTATTGAGAGATGCCAAGAACATGTGACAGGCAATCCATACAATCAATAATGCGACTGTAACACTTTTTTAGAGCCTGTATAGTGCTGTTGTAGGCCTACCCATTAAAAAAAAAATCTTATTGTTTTTTTTTTTTATTCAAGCAATGCCAAGAAAAAATAATCACAAAGATGTTATATTGCACTCATCGCCCCTGGGTGTGTGTCTGTAGGACAATTTTGCCTCCCAAACATATTTCAGCTAATATTAGCTGAATACTAGCATACACAACACTTAAACATTCAAACTGATTTTTTTTTTGTAGTAGTCGGCTATTTAATACTTTATTTTGAATTTTCATTTCGCATTTAAAGTATTCTAAATTTAGAAAAGATTTCAACAAATGAGTTTATGTAAAACATTTTAAAGATTGTTTCATGTGTTGAGGTTTAACTTTTATAAGAAAAAAATATTATCATTATATAACTATGAAAGAAAGACATTGAACCTGAAGATAACAACCTCGCAGAATCAGGACTAAAGCTCCCCTGTGGACTTCAAATGGAAATGACTGGGCTTTAGACTTGCACAGACGGCGGACTCTAAGGGTTTGCTGACTGGCACTCAAGTTCTGCTAACTGCTTATGCCAAGCGATTACACGGCAACGTTTATTCTTGTGCTCCCGAATAGCTAGAGCTCATAATGCTCTGGTTATCTTTCCGATCGTGATGCCAAAGCTAATGCAATCACTCACATTGTTCATAGCCTCTGATGAGATCTCATTGCGAGTCAGACACATTTCAGGGCTTTGGACGTTAATTATAAAGAAATGCTGGGCGTCATGCTGTGGAGGCATCATTGGTGAGCAGCTGAGCTAAACATTCCCTTTGACCATCCATCTGCACACTTCAGAGCTATTGAGAGATGCCAAGAACATGTGACAGGCAATCCATACAATCAATAATGCGACTGTAACACTTTTTTAGAGCCTGTATAGTGCTGTTGTAGGCCTACCCATTAAAAAAAAAATCTTATTGTTTTTTTTTTTTTTATTCAAGCAATGCCAAGAAAAAATAATCACAAAGAAGTTATATTGCACTCATCGCCCCTGGGTGTGTGTCTGTAGGGCACTTTGGCCTCCCAAACATATTTCAGCTAATATTAGCTGAATACTAGCATACACAACACTTAAACATTCAAACTGATTTTTTTTGTAGTAGTCGGCTATTTAATACTTTATTTCGCATTTAAAGTATTCTAAATTTAGAAAAGATTTCAACAAATGAGTTTATGTAAAACATTTTAAAGATTGTTTCATGTGTTGAGGTTTAACTTTTATAAGAAAAAAATATTATCATTATATAACTATGAAAGAAAGACATTGAACCTGAAGATAACAACCTCACAAAATGTTAGCGAGTGTCAAAAAAACTTGAAAAAAGAAAGAAAAAAAAACAGTACCGTTCAAAAGTTTGGGGTGAGAACAATTTAAAAAAATTTTTTTTTTTTTTTTAAATGTAGTCTTTTATGCTCATAATGCATATGCATTTGTTTGATCTAAATACTGTAAGATTGTGACATTATTACAATTTAAAACAACTGTTTATTATTTCAATCTATTTTAAAATGTAATTTATTTCTGTGGCAGACCCCAAACTTTTGAACCATATTGTATATTTGCCCTCTTTGACGGCTATGTGCACAAATCAACTCACATTATACAAGCAAGTTGGGTAGCTTACAAAGTGATTTTTTTAAACGTGTGCCTAAAGCAGTGTTGCAAACTATTATAAAATAACATTCACATGCTGTGTAAATATATATACATCAACATATTTACAACGCACATTATTCACAGTAAAATGAAAAATATATTTTCATGCTTTTCACAGTAAAACATCAAAACTTCACATATTGATGGTGTTTGCTATTATTTGTCAATTTGTCAACTGGCCGGTTTACTTCATCCAAACACGGCACAGACGCATCAAGCAGTCTCCAACTGCACTCCAGGTCAATACCCTGCAGCTTTTCCATGTTTGCGTGAGTCAGATACAGCCTCTATGCAGTTGTTTTCCTTTGACACTGCATTTACCACATTATAAAACATCTGTGGGACTTTGACTTTGTGCCCAGTCTTGTTAAGTGACTCCAGAACAATCTGAGGAAGAAAAGAGATGAAAGTGGTTTGGAAATTTCACCTGATCCTTTACAAACAATTGACCACATGGAAGCATTTGTATCTACTTTACCTTGTCAAACAAGGGCTCAAAGTTGAGGACGTTTTTGGAGTCCACAAACACTACAGGGGCGTCGATGGACTCTTGTAGAGTCTTGTCGAACCACAGGAAGTTCATGAGAGTCTAGCCAGAAGGGTTTCGGTTAGAGCTGGATTACTGAATCACAGTGCGTTAAATTAGTTAAAGTGCAGTTTAGACTCACCAGAGCCACCCCGGTGGTGATCATACTGCCACCTGAGGCTCCTATGACCACAATGTGCTTCTGAGATGGGGAGTAAAGGATCACTGGAGACATGGAGGAAGGCGGCTGCTCACCTTCACACAGATACACACAGAACTGATACTTATACATTCACAAAGTGCCAAAATATTCTATCCCCCTATTCTTATTTGAAGGATCATTTTGTGTTCAGTACAAGTTAAACTATCGAGCAGCACTTACAAGAACTATATAATAATGTATTTGTCATGTGATGCTGTATAAATCATCCTTTTTTGATCTAACCCATAAAAATGACTTGTGTTTTTGTAACCTAGTTTGTCAGGCTGATTTAGTCTGATTAAATAACATGTTGACATAATGAATAAAAGTCATTTTCAACGAATGAGTTAATGTAAAACATCTGTTGTAGCTGATACAAAGGTTGCATGTCTTTTGGTTTACCCTTCATTACCAACAACAAAAACACCAATATATAACTATGACAGAAAGACATTTCTCCTGAAGGTAACAAGCTCACAAAACAGTAGCCACATTTTCTTAATATCTACTTCAGTTTTAGAAATAAAAATGTGGCATACTGGTCAAAGTTTGGTGTAAAAAGTTTTTTTTTTATTAGTTTAATTAATTTAGAAGTCACCACAAGAAGAACATATTTAGATGTAGATCTTGTGGCTATATGTTTTTTTTATTTTTTTATAATGGTATTGATATTAAAATTCTAGCTGATACAGATAAGCTGATAATTATGTTTATATTATGTCTGATAAGCGATAAATACCAGAATACCAAATAAATAATACAAATTCTGATAAATACCAAAATTCTATTCAAATAAATACCAGCATTCTGTACTGTTCTGCCTAAATAAATTAAAAATAAAACACTAAAATAAATCCCTATGAGATTTGCTAAAGATTACATTGAACTGTTATTCAATTACACTGTTAAAAAAAAAAAAAAACGATTTTTCAAAGTTGTAAATAAAGTGAACTTTACAAGAAAATTATTTCATTCTTTCTACTTCAAAATGTCACGTTTAATTTAATTTGTTACTTGCAGTTTCTTTGTAATCATCTGTGCAATTTACTAGCAATTTCTAAGTTAAAATTGTTTCAAAGTAAATCCTACACCATTTTCTTTTCAGTGTATTAGTATTTCGAGAGAGAATAAGAGAGAAGAGAGAAATATTCTTTTGATTTTGGTAGCTGTATGTGTTAATGATCAATTTGTGATTTTTTTACTGACCAGCATGAATCTGGTCTGTTTTTCCACAGAAGTCTGCAAGTTCATTGTTGAGGAGGATGCCTGTTTTGGGGGAGAAAATTCTGGATCCAAATCTGAGAAAAGAGAAAGAAACAGTCAAAACAGTCAGTTCTGACACTTTCTAAGGCACACTTTTATTCCTGCATAGCATTGCATTCTTTAATAAAGTAATAGTACAATGCACAATATTATCTGACAGTGTTCCAGCACTCATATAAATGGAATGAAGATGATTTGAGGGCACATACATGTGATTGATGGTGCTGGTCACAGATACCGCCATACCATCCTCAGCAAGCACGGACACATGAGTGGTGCCATGAGAGTCCAGGTATGGAGTGACGTTGTAGTAGCTGGCATCATAAGTGCGGTCAGGGCTGATTGTTGCTCTCACTTTATCCGCAAAATGCTTCTGAATGATCTCAACTGCCTCCTATTCAAGTCACACAGAACGTCGAGGATGATGAACTAATGCATGACTTTATGTGTCCCAACCAGTGGGTTGCCAGCAATAATGGCAGTGTTGCTGTACTGTACTCTACTGCCTGCAGTAATGATCACCCAGAACACAGCACTTAAGTCATTATAGCAGATTACACTAGTGCCTCCAGAAAGTGTAATGACTGTAATGTTTCTGTTGAGATAGCCTACTAAAGTACAGCCTGACCAATGGTATCATGCCTTTAACACTTTCAGAGAAGTTAAAAATGTAAACCGAACAATTTCCTCCTACAAAGCCTACCGTTTGAGAGGTAAAATTGGGATCTTTCATGAACTTCTTAAGACCGTTGGCAAATTTACAGGTTTCTACATAACGCTGAAATGTTAAGACCTTCTCGTCTCCCTCCAGAGATGCAGAATTTAGGTCAAAACCTGAGGAAAACAAATCAGTGTAACAGATTAGAAATAAAAAAAGGTTTGACATTTGTGAACTTATCATTAATATGTATATCAAATAAATTTCCAGAGATGCAGAATTTAGGTCAAAACCTGAGGAAAACAAATCAGTGTAACAGATTAGAAATAAAAAAGGTTTGACATTTGTGAACTTATCATTAATATGTATATCAAATAAATGATATTAATCACTGATAATAATATGAAATATTTCTCGAGCAACAAATCAGCATATTAGAATGTTTTCTGAAGGATCATGTGACAATGAAAACTGAATGAAAATGTAAATTCAGCTTTGCGTTAAAGGAATAAATTTCATTTTGAAATACATTCAAGTAGAAAACTAAAAATAGCAATGATATTTCACAATATTACCGTTTCTACTGTATTTTTATTTTATTAATACAGTTTTTCCTCAATTGCTGTGGCTAAGTTCTTAAATGAGAGTTTTTTTTCTCAGAACAATAAGTTCAGATGTCTGAACAATTCGTTTCTTGTTCACATCAGATTTGAATTTCTTATTGATTTAAGCAACTCTTCACAACTTCTAAACATTCTTTCATCGTGTGAACCATCACATGCAAAATGATCTGTTCAATGATCAAAATCTATCAGACAGGTGTGTAAATTCCATAAATATCAGACATGGAATGGTTGTAGTGTCTGCTACGTTGGCAAGTGGCTTGCCATTAGGGTTGCAAAGGGGTGGAAAATTTCCTGAAAGTTTCCATAATTTTTGGAAAATGTGTACATTTTTTGGACACTTTTGGAAAAAATGTGTACATTTTCAGAAACTTTTGGAAAGTTTCCAGAAATTCACTGGAAACTTTCTGCCTCTTTGCAAACCCTACTTGCCATTGTAATGAAATGGGATCACAATCTTGCCAATCAATCAACTTTGGAAGTATATATATAGAGTTTTCCCAGCACAGTTGCTACCATTTTTTAAAACAAGGATGAACGTCACAACCTTAAACAGCAGCAGCTGCAGCAGTGCTGTAGAAATACATCTATATTTGTACAGAACATTTGTGTTACATGCAAACTGTGAACATTTACAGCTGCTTGTTGTGGAAGAGCAATAGGAAAATATGTAAGAATGTGGGTTGGTGTTACTGTAAGGAGAAGACAACAGAGTGTGTAAAAATGATTAAGCAATGGTGAAATAAAAATATCAAATGTACTGCATAAATAAAAATGTTTATTTCCTTATTGTGTACTACAGTGTTGACTTTACCCACTACATATTTACCTACTGTTGAAATATGTATACACAGACAAAACTTAACTAAATTAAATTTGCATATAACAAATATTTCCACGGTGAAAAAAACATCTAAACATTTTGACCTGTGTGGCTCGCACAATGACAAAAACACTTTTTATTTTGGTAGCTTTGGCCAAGTCACTGACACAATAACTAGGTTTTGAAACATGAATTAAATGTTTAGGGTGAGTTACTACCTTTTGCAGACATGCAATAGGGTTCTGATATTTCAGCAAACAGTTTTGCCAATTGCACTTACAGTTTAGAGATTAAGACGGTTTCGAAAAATGTGCCTATAGCAATTGAGAAAAACTGTAAATACAGCCTTGGTGAGCATTAAAAAAATCTTGCCAATTTTTGATTTTTTAATTTTTGAACGCTAATAGCTAGGTCACTCGTGCCCGTAGCACAAGCAAAAAGGTCTGTGCCAAAGTTTCATGCTTCGTGTTTTAACATTAAACTTAATTATTCACTAGAAAATAATAGCGATGGTGATGCTTGCCTCAAGCAAGTACCACAAATAAAGGACAAACGGGTTAATTAGTTTTCCCACCTAGCATGGTATTTAGCATAAAGTTAAGTGTAGCTCCCCCTGCTGGCGGTGGAGGAAAGTACATTTCATACTCTCCTAGAGCCACTTCCCAGGCACCTAATTCAGATGCCCTGAACGACCTCAAGTCCTCCAGAGAAATTGTTCCGCCTGAAATACACAGTAAATAAACTGTGATTCATGTATATTTATGGAAATCACAATTGTAGAAAGTGGCATTCTGAATTACCTGCGCTTTGTATATCACTGACAAGGTCTTTGGCAATGTCTCCGATGTATAAAGCATCTGCTCCTTGTTCTGCGATGATCTCAAGTGTATCTGCTAGTTTTTCAAATCTCACTATGTCCCCTTCTTTTAATAGCTTGCCTTCTTCATTCTGGAATAACTGGCTATAAAAGAAACACATTCTGATGAACGTTTTCACTCTTACTGGAATGTGACAGAATTCACATCTGCTCTGTTATCAAGCTCTGTTAAAGGGAACATTATAAGTCTGTATTCATTCAGAATGTGAGTACATGTATTACCGTAATGGTGATTCTGGCTTCTCCTTTAAGAGAAGTGGCAAAAATTGAGAGAGCACATAGGGTATAGGGACGCCCTCTCTAGCCATCTTGATAGTGGGCTCAAGTAAACGTCCATACAGTTTATGAGCTCGCTCATAGCCACGGATATCACCAGGTACACCGATCCAGTGAGCACCTATAGATAGAGAGAGAAACTATAGCTATCATTTGTGCTTAAAGTGCTCAGTACACTGAGTGTGTGTAGTTATGATAAATAGGAAGGCTACTTCCTATATAATGCAAAAGAAGGTTTGTATTTAAGAAATATGGGGTTTCATCTTTTGACATGGGGCATTGCACATATTTAAGTATTAAAAAAAAAAAAACTTCATCCACTGTTCACTGTCACCTTCCATTGGCTGTATTGTGGTTGGACACATGGCAAGAAGGTCGGTTTTAAAAGTTTTTGGGACAGTCTCTCTGGCATTGATTACTCTCACTCTGCCTAGATAACAGAGATGTGGATGAACATTAACAATAATATGCATTATAAAACAAAATAATGATTTATTTAAGGTATTAAAGGTAGGATAATCCTCACCACTTTGTTCCCGTATTGTGAATATAGATCCTCCACCAATGCCCATACTCTGAGGATTTATGATTGACGTGCACAGTAAAGTAGCAATGGCGCCATCTACCGCTGAGCCACCCAACTGCAGTACATCTCTAGGAGGGAAAAAAAAGAGACAGAATTGAGCTATGGGCAGGGGTTTTCAAATGATTTGATGTCAAGGGCATCCAAATACAATGATCCCCCTGGAAAGGGACCCCTTCCTAAAATGTAATTAAAGGCAGCTTTAGCTATCATGTGCACAGAAAATATGTTGTTTCCGAAACTAAATAACTGTATTTGTGTTGTAGTAGTCTTTTATTTAAATATTATCTGGAAAGTAATCATTTTCTGCTAAGTTGACAGTGTGTCTTTTATTTTACCCATTTACAGCTGATTTCAAATTTATTGGTATAGTAATTCTCACAATTATGATTCCTAATGGTGTGTTCACACAATTCCATCACTCCCCCTCCCTCAGCTGGATTCTTTCTGTCACAGCACCAAATGTTCTAGTGTAAATGTTCTTTTTAGCTACTGTCAAATACTGCAGTCAACAAAGCGATATGAATTCCGACCTATCTTTTAAAAACAGAATAAAACGGTATGGCTATCAATAATTTGTGAATAATTTTAATAATGTGTGTTTAAAATTATTTGTAATTTGTACCTTTCCTTGTTTGACAACTATGGGCTGACACGAGAGAGAATAGGGGACATACAACAACAAGGATAAAAAATGAGAAAACTTAGGCTAATTTGGAAAATTAGCTTCTGCAGGCGGTCACGTATAAAAACGCGCTTTAAGACCCGTCAGAAGCTTCTGCCGGAGGCTGGCATAACCAATATATTTTTAAGTTTACAAATGATCTATATTTAGATTAAATAGGCCTAGTCTATCATGATTAGCCTACTTTCTGACTACACCTTTCAAAGACCGATATCTAAATGTATAAATTAAATTAAATTAAATTTATGCATTTAGCAGACGCTTTTATCCAAAGCGACTTACAGTGCATTCAGGCTATACATTTTTTATCAGTATGTGTGTTCCCTGGGAATTGAAACCACGACAAAAAAACAAAAAAAAAAAACATAATAAAATTATGGATAAACTTCTTTATAGTAAACATAAACATGAAATAGTGTAAAAGTAACTGTATACTTAAGAATTTGGCGCTGTATGTCTAAATCATTAGCTGTTGTCCAAGAAGAGGAAGCCACAGATTGCTGTCAAGAGGATTAGGCTGTAAAGATACTTCACCTAATTAAGTTCAAACTTTCTGTGTACCGTGAAACCGGACGTTTCACCTCAGCAGCCACTGGTGTCCTCAAATTTACCTGACCCAGGGATTACGACAACCTAGTTGTCATTTTCCAGGAAAACGTGATCTTCCACATCAATAGCCTATGCATGTTTAAATGAAAAGTTTGGATGCTAGATTTTAAAGTGTTTACTAAAATATTGAATCTAATCATCCGTAAGCACGCTATTTCTGAATTTAAAGTAACATAATTCATAGTGCACTGCATTCATAATGTACTAGGCTACATATAGACTGTAAGTAGTAAAGGCAATCACTCACCGCCCGATCTTTGAGCAGGTTTCCGAGTCCGCTGCCACTGCTGCTTTTTTGTAAAGTCCGTCAGTACACTGCTCGTTAAAGTGAGTCGCGCAAATAATAATAATTAAAATAATACATATAATCGGAATACTTATGCACAAGCAAACTTTCTCTTTTCGTCTGGCCATTGTTTCCCGACCCCTTGCGACTTTGCTGTATCGTTGAACTTCTGGAGTAGGCTACAGCAGAAGTGCGCTATTAGCCCTCCCCTTTTAGAGTGTCAACGCCTAATTAAGCGCGTTGTCAAGGTGTAGAGGTCGAGTCTAAATTGGATTGTGTAAAGTGGTTTTGTAAGAGGTGTTTTCGCACCCTCCAATGGTATAAGGCAAACTTCACTATCTGAGACATCCCCCTGCAGCCGTGGGGTGGACTGCTGGACCATCCAAGCTTTGAATTACAACCCCCCTTTTTTAACCACATATGTTGTGACTCAGATGGATGGGTCATATTACTGCCACACCAAAAGTGAGTAACTTAAGCTATTTCTACCTATAGCCTATGACTCTTAATAAAATGTTGACTTTTGAATTAAATGGTTAAATAATATTTTTGAATGTAGCCAGTTAATTTAGATGTTACCAGATGGTGCACACCTTTGTAGGTTACCTGGCAACATATTTTTCCCCTATCAAACTGTATGTCAACAAACTAATTGATCAAAATTATCATTCATATTTGGAAATGTCTCTCTTAAGGCTAATTCACACTGCACCAATATAGGCCGACCAACAGCAACAGACACTTTGTCACATTTGTCAGATCAGTATGTTACCCCTTGCTGGCATTTGCTGTTGGTTGGCACTTGTTTTGAACATGTTGAACTTGTTTAATCAGCATTTGTCGATTCATGAAACTGTTGGTGCAGTGTGAAAACATAGTTTGTTGACATACAGTTTGATAGGGAAAAAAATATGTTGTCAGGTAAGCTATAAGTGTGCACCATCTGGTAACATCTAAATTAAATGGCTATATTCAAAAATATTAACGATTTAATTCAAAAGTCAAAATCTTATTAAGAGTTTTCTTGTGTAAGCTAAAGAAAATCCATTTGCGCTGAACTGGTTTGGTGAAAAAAAAATGAGCGAAGTACAATCGAAAATATTACTTTCTCTATGTTGGCAATGTCATGTGACCTATGATGTCATCAGAGCTGGGTAGATTACTTACAAATTGTAGTCCGTTACTGATTCCAAGTTAGGCCTACATGACAAAATTGTGGTTGGGTAATATAATCTAGCTACTTTTTGATTACTTTTGACCTAACTTGTTTATCACATCGATTTAAATATGATAATCTTGTACCATACTGATACAAAAATACAAAGAAAAAAACATTCCATTCATTGTTATTGACAACATTACATTACATCAAGGTTTCCCAAACTGTGGTTCGTGAAGGAACTGCAGAGGTTTTGTGAGTTTAATGAAATGTAAAATGTAATTTAATCTAACTACAAGTACTTAATTTTTGGAATCTGATTATGTAATCCAGATTACATGTAATCAGTTACTACCCAGCTCTGAATGTCAGT